TGACATCATGACAGATGTTGCAGACAAGTCCAGGGGTTTTTCAGCTTCTTCAGTCATGAGAATTTATTTTCATGTGAAGACAGCTGAGCTCACAGGCACTTTTATTGTATTTAGAAAAGGAGGAGGATAAAGAAGAAGAGAAAAGACAAAGAAATGCAGCAATGATTTCCCCTGTACATAAAGGAAGTGGGCAAAAAGCCTCAGTATTAATACATTATGCAGAGTATTATGGCAACAACCAGCTGCAGCAATATCTTCCTGACTTTTTCTCACAGTCTCCACCATTTCTGCCTCCATATCAGGTAAGTCTAATCCTTAGATTAGTAATTGCCTTAGAGCAAATGTATTCAAATCACCAAGCCAAATTATACTAGGAAATACTGCCCAGCTGCAATTTCACGAGCATTACTGTGCTCTCTTACTCCTTCCATTTTCTTTTCAAAACATACACAACAAAAGCCTGAGCAGCAGTAGATTGAATTAAGCTGTAATAGATCCAAAACAGTTTTGATAAAATTAGCCACGGTCGGCGGTACACAGCACCACACAAAGCACAAGATCTAATAATAATGTGACAATAAACAAACAATAAAACAACACATTGCACAGAATCTTATTTCTTACTACTAAATACAAGATTTCTGGATTGTTTTCTGGTTTTTGTCTTCCACCCGTGGCTATTCCTGGTTTTAGTGAAGCTGTTAGTTCATATTTTGCTCTTTTGATGTGATAATCAGCTAATTACTTGTGTGACTTTGGTCCCTTTTATACAGAGACCAGGTCAAACTGCCCTTCTTTATGGCAGCTTTTTACACTAAACTCAAAAAAGCTAGCAAACTGCACTCGTTTTTACACAGCCGCCAATATCCAGGTACCAGAGGTGTGATGCATCCCACAGTACGCATGCTCTCTTGGCAGCATTTTGGAGGGTCAAGATCGACCCCCCCACCCCCGTACTGATACCGTGCCTTTTATACAGAACAGTGAGGCAGAAAACTGGTGCAAAACTCTCACATCTGCAGTGCAGAAGGACCTTTGAAACGGTTCATCCTAGAAAGTTCTTGCTTGGATTCACATCTTATAAACCAACCATTACTTTCTTGGCTTTCACATATATGCTGACCTCTGTCAGCAACAGTGAGAGGACGGGGGATGACCAAACATGTTAAGCTCCTGTGGAACTTCTTATCAAGTAATTACCTTATTGAGCTCAATGAGTGACTGACTGCCTCACTGGTTTCACAGATAAAATCGCACAAGAGCCACCAGGGGACTTTAGTGGCTGAAAAACACAAGTGGTGGTGAATGCTAAAGAAAGCATAAATCAAAGGGCTGGACACTGATGTTATGGTTTCCTTAGTTCTATATACAAACACTAAAATTAAGAGAAGCTTTACAAGTTTTACTCAGGTCACTTGTGGGTTCTCATAGGTGTTTAGGCGGCTACATTTGCAGGTTTAAATAAATGGGTGAGAAGCAAAGTGCAGCATTTCCATATTGGTTTCCTGATCTACCTGGAGCCTGAAGGGCTGTTTTGGGTAACAACACCATTCAGGTGACCTCTATTTGCATTGGGATATCATTTGTCCTATATGAGTGTGGCAGGGTGACGATGTGCCCTATGCAAAGCAGCCATATTCAGCTTGTGCAAGAGAGGTTGTAGCTAGGAGAAGGCACAGGAGGAACAGCTGGCAGAAGCATGGGAGGTGAACCCTGGGAGGTGGGTTAAGGGCAATGTCCAGTAATATTTGCTGCATCAGCCCTGAGGCATAATAACCTGGTATAAGTGTGTGGACTGGGGCTTCGCCTGCCCTGAGGGCTGCGTTGCGAGAGCATAGAATACAGGCTGCTGTGGCTCACCGCTGATTAAAAGTGATCCACCTGGGCACAAGTGCTGCTTTGAAGTGCAATGATAAAACAAAAGCTGATGGCTTGTGCTAATTCTATGGTTAAGTGATTTCATTCCTCGCTACATTATGGTCGGACAGCATTAATTTCTGGCACTGAATGGAACCCAAGCTACTGCCAAAAGTAATAACGTTTAGTGTTCTGTACTCATCAGCTTCCAGAAGCAAGCTTTAAACAAAGGTATGTAAAGAGCATATACACCAAATATAATAATGTAGCCACACATGGTAAAAGACAGGCAAGACTATAAATAACACAAGCCGCAATCAATGGAGTTACAAGAAGAGATGAAATGTCAGGTCTGTTGCCCCTCCTGTTCAAGCCCTCAGCAGCTGCTGCATGGCATGCTGGCTTCTCCCTCACAGTTAGCTTAGCATAATGACTGTTTAAATGTATGACAGGCTAAAAAAAAAAAAAGGCTCACCTCGCTGATAAACTCCCTCAGTTGCCTGGTTACCTGCCTGAGCAGGTTGGATTAGGTAGGCAAGGAGATAGAAGGATAGAATCTGATACCTCAGAGTCAATGGTCAGCACTATTCTCTGTCACCCTCCCTATCTTTCTCTCTATCTTTCCACCCGACCCCAAGTCACTTGTGAAACAGTGGGGGCCATTCTCCATAGCACTAACAGGGCTGTCTTTCTTGTGCCTGTCTCTGTCTCTCTTTCCACAGATGGACAAAAAGAGAAGGAGTGGGGGCATGTATGTGCATGTTCTGTGTGTTAGAAACTGTCTTTTATCATCACGTGTCATAAATGTTAAACAGGTTCAACCTCATTTATGGCCAAATGTCATAGAAAGGTCTATTTTAAATCCAAGCTTAGTAATATGAATAAAGGTTAAGTAAAATTGTATTATCTTAATTACTAAGAAAACTAGAGAACATAAAACAGTCCACCATTAATGCAGATATTGCACAAACTGTCAGGTTAACTAAAGTACATAAGTGTTCTCGAGTTTTATTATGTCTTCAGCTGTAGTGGCACTTACCTGACAACAGAATATTTTTAGATGCAGCGTCGCTAAAATCAAGAGCGTGACTGCTTCACTACTTAAACTAATATAAAGGTGGCTGTTTAGTGCCATAATTGGAGCACATGAACACACACCTTTGCTTCAATTACCTCTCTTGTACAGCCATTAAATTGCTCCCTATCCACCTCAACTGAATTTATCAACAGTGAGTATTTACTGAGCCCATGGGATATAAAAGGCAATTTGAATACCTGCTATATTAAATACCTAACAGGGTGCCTCGCATAGATGCAATTGCCCAGCAAGCAGTTAAACACTTTTTAAAAACTACTTTATTAAAATATAAGTGTTCAAACTAATTGCCCAAAATCACCAAAAATACTCTGTGCAGACTGAGTTTTGTCCAAGGCACTGTATTGTAACAAATGCACAGTCCATAAAAGTTACAGGGGCATTAATGTAGAGTGTAAATAAATAATTATATAAGTGGAGCATAGTGACACACAATACATGCTGCTGCCGCAACAGCAAGTAGTGCCCTTTTAATTATGCAGGAGACATCCGAAAGCAACAGCGCTCCTCACACTCTGGGAAGCAGCTCACCGAATACACTATATTAGAAGCTGTTAGAGACAGAGCAGGGGAAAGAGAAGGGAGAGAAGCAATGGGGGGAGTGAAATGATTTGAGAGGAGAAATAGCAAGAGGGAGGGAAGAGGGATGTAGAGAGATGAGAGCGTAGATTAAAACAGAAACCACTGCAAGAATAAAGGCAAGGCAGAGAGCACCATTGTTAAGGGTATGGAGTGGAGGAGGCTGAAGAAAACGGGTGGATACAGTGCAAGCAAGGATAGGGCCAAAGGAGAGTCTGAGGGGGACAAGGCGACACCGGGCACAGAATATAAAAACAGGAGCATAGAGATATCTGAAGGAAAAGAGAGAGGAAAACAAAAACAGAAAATGAAACAAAGAAACAATCCAGCTGTGTTCTGAGAGAGAACAGCACTCCAGAATTCTTAAAGAGAAGCTGCTGACACCAAGTAAAACAGAATCAATAATTCATTAGACTGGCCTATAAAACACATAAAACAGTGTTCTTTTTCCTGAAAATGCAAATCAGCTGACTTCCTTCTGTATTAACTTTATTTCTAGCTGTTATTGCACCAAGCAGTGCAAAAACAGCCCCCAAAATATCTGAAAGACTGGACTGATAAAAGCACACACTCGCTGGAATTTAATTATCACATCTAGACCTTTCCCGGCAAATGGAAGAGTTGCTGAGAGGAAAAAGGAAGAAAAGCAAAAACAGAAGGCTAGCTGGAAGGTGGGTGAGAGCAGAAGAGGGCAAGTAAGTAGAAGACTGCATTTTGTATATACTGTATATAAGAAAAAACTAAGGGAGGAAAAGAGGCACAATATGGGAGGTGATATAAAAATGTACAGTCTTTCTGTTAGGTTGACGATTTGATGCAGACACCAAAGTGCAAATGAAAATATTAAATTGACCCTCCTGGCCACATTTTTCTACCCTGAGATGTAAAACTGACCCGCAACCATTATGAAGCCAATGTTTGTACTGCATCATTCAACCTTTCTCTCCTTTTTTTCCTCTTCACAAAATGAAAAGGTAGCCTTGTCACAGACAGAGGGCAGGGCAGGGCAAGGCTTGATATGGCTAAAAGGGGAGTGTAGTCAGTCAACCCCCTTCTGGGATAAAATAACTGCAAACCGAACCCTTATGTGAGCTGTCTACCACACGCTGACCCACATTTGCTGAGGTTAGCACTTGTGACACCGCTGATGGAAAAGGCAGCCTTTAACACACGCTGTGATAAAAGTGAAAAAGTTGGACAGATTTGGTCAAGTGGTAAAAATATCCCTTCCTTAGCTAATCTAAACCTTTCTCTTTCCTTTTCAATATTACATGTGAATGGCACTCCAAACCACAACAGATCAATACCGCTAACTTGACACACATTAGCACCATAAAGGCAACAAGACTACTGAGACTAGCTCTGTCAGAAAGCATTATGGTGGAGAGAACACTAAGAGGAAGAAACAGGAGACATTTAAGAGTAGTGGAGGGGGGGAAAGAGAGAACATGGAGATGTGTCTTCTTACCTGTTTGTTGTACTTGTTGATAGTTTGACTGCTGTATTCAGAGCAGTGGTCAGATCCAAGGGAAATGTTATCTCCGGTGCCAACAAAGGTATTGGCAGGGGGCAGGTCCTGAACTGCCTGGTGCTTTTTTCCAGCTGTTGGAGACTGAGGATGAAGTTGAACAGTGGGGAGTGGCGAACTAGACTTGTAGTGCCGGGCCAGATCTGGGCTGCCAGGCCCTCCGTTGACTGAACGGTAGCGGCCCATCCCTGGACTGTCCGACAGCTTTTCGCTGACGCCGTCGTATCGCTGCCCGTTGGGTTTGGAGGCCTCCACAGTGACAATGCTGCTATAGAGTGGCTGTTTGGACTTCTGTTTCTTCTTATCTTTCTTGGGCTTCTTGGATTTCTCATGTTGCTGTGGTGTGAAGAAATCTTCATGATCCTTCTTGCCAGCCTCGTAGCCATTCTTATTTTTGGGACGGCAATAACGGGCCATGACAACAACAAGAATGATAAGTATGACTGTCATGATCCCTGAAACTACTCCGATTACAATGCTTAACCGCTGTTTGCTGAGATCATAGTTAGGGTCACCAGCAATGTTGGTGTTGAGGGAGGTGCTCAGGCTCTTAGCCACCTGGGCCTCTACAACTGTGGAGTTGGAAAGAGTCTCATTAACATACACGTGAACCAGCGTGGTTGTGCTCTGTGATGGCTGCCCACTGTCGTTCACCTGGACCACCAGTCTGTGGAGGCCGTAGTGCTTCTGCTCCAGCTTTCCCACCAGTGAAATGACCCCAGTGCCCCCATCGATCTCAAACAGCTTGAAGGGGTTCCCTCCAATGATGCTGTAGTTCAGGTCTGCGTTGATGCCGGTGTCAGTATCAGTGGCTATGACAGTTCTGACTACCGTTCTGATGTTGCTGGAGGGAGGAAGAAGGGTGTAGGAGCTGTTTATTGGAAACGTGACCGTTGGCGCATTGTCATTTTCATCCATGACAAAGAGTGAAACTGTAGCGGTGGCAGATCTAGGGGGGTCACCACCATCCACAGCTTTAACACGGAAGGTGTATGTAGTTTTCTGCTCTCGGTCAAAGGAGAGGGTGGAGAAAATAGTCCCAGTATCATTCTCAATAGAAAAGATCTCCTCCTCCTCTTCAATGAAAAGACTCATCTCTGCATTTTGCCCTTTATCGGCATCAATGACTGTAACCATGCCAACTGGGCTGTTTGGCTCAAGGTTTTCTTTGACATAGAAGGTGAACACATCCTGCATGAACTTTGGTTCGTTGTCATTCTTATCGGCCACAAGGACAACCACCGTTGCAGAGCCCTGAAGGGTGTTTATGCCCTTATCTTTGGCTATCACTTTGAATTCGTAGCGCTCCGTTTGCTCTCTATCTAGAATGGTGTTTACTCGGATGTCTCCACTGTCTGCATCGATAGAGAAAATCCCATTTACTGATGAGTCAAGGGAATAGGCTATTTCGGCATTCTTCCCACTATCTGCATCAATGGCTGCCACTGTTGTCACCCTCTCGCCAGGGGCATTGTTTTCTGGAAAAGACACCTCTACTACATTCTGGCTAAAGACAGGAGGGTTGTCGTTAGTGTCGCCCACTCTAACAGTAAGAGAGTTATTACTTGCTAGACTTGGGCTTCCAGAGTCCACAGCCACTATAACCACATTGTATTCTTGTGTGGCCTCATAGTCCAGCGGCGCAGACGTGTGGAGGAAATATTTCTTTTTGTTCTGCTCACCCTCCATTTCACTGGCTGGTTTTAGCTGAAAGGGAACATCCCCTACCACTGTGCAGGTCACTATGCCATTTTCCCCCTGGTCTCGATCTGACACCTGAACTAAGGCAATGGGTGTGTCCACCACCACGTCCTCAGCCACACTGGCTACCCCGTCTTTTAAGAAAATGCGTCCAATTTTCCTTATTTCTATAGCAGGAACATTGTCATTCTCATCCTTGATGTTCAACACCACAGTGGCCTTGTCCATTTTGGGTGGCTGGCCTCGGTCACGGGCCATTACTGTGAACCTAAGTTGGCTCACTTCTTCACGGTCAATGCGGTGCAACACACTCAGCCACCCCGTGCTCTCATCCAACCTCAGCAGCCTCCTTACTGACTCTGTGGCTGCTCCAAACACATACTCTATTTGACCATTAACCCCCACGTCTGCATCTGCTGCTTTGAGCTGTAGTATGGGGGCACCAGGGGAGCTGTTTTCAGGTAGGTCAGCTTCGTACACGCTCTTCTCAAACCGAGGGCTGTTGTCATTCACATCAGTGATCATCACCCTTAGAATGGCCTGGGAAGAGCGAGGGGGGTCTCCTCCATCCCTAACACGCAATGTGAGCTCATAGGAGTCTCTCTGTTCCCTATCAAGAGCCCCTTTAATGATGAGTTGAGGCTGCTTCTCTCCATCAGTAGTGTCAGCAACTTGCAGTTCAAAGACGCTGCTCCTGCTTACACCTTCTTCAAATCTCCTCTTTCCCGAGTATGAATCCCCAGAAGAGCCCAAGCGCCTCGAGTTTTCCCCATTGTCCTGGATAAGCTCATATCTCTCTATTCCATTTCTGCCAAAATCTCTGTCTGTAGCTGTAGGCAGCAGATAAAGGGTTCCAATGGGTCTGTTTTCCTCCACGGACAGTGTCAAAACAGGGGAAGGGAAAGACGGAGTGTTATCATTTATGTCTAATATGATAACTTTTCCCTCAAAGAGGTCGACCCAGCTCTGGGCTGGCCCAATAACTGACACTTCAAAATCTATAAAACACTCATTTTCATCAAATATCATTTGGCACTGCGGTAATTTTTCACGGTCTATCCGCCTCTCATTGGTGGTGAGCTCACCTGTTATGTTGTCTATTTTGAAAAAATCTGAGCCTGACTCGAGCGTGAATGTCACCTCGCCGGACCCGGCAACAATGCCCAGGTCGGCGGCTACGTTCCCTACTCTGACATCGGCGGGTCCCTCCTCAGCCAAACGGTAGCGGAGCACTTGCTTTGCAGCTGGCTGATGCACAAGCTGCAGGATAAGCATGCAATAGTACAAATAGTCCACTGCACCAGTAGTCCTCATTGTTCTCCTCAGAAAAAAATGTCCACTTAGAATTGGAAAAATGTCAAAGAATTATTTAATCACTAATAGAAAGTCCGAATATGAAAAAGAAATGTCGTATTCATTAAGAGCAAAGCCCTCGGTTTCGGGATGTCTGAGACTCATCCCCCGGACGACTTCCTACATCGCTCCTACTGCAGCGAAAAGCAGCAAGTGCACGGGCTTTCCTCTCTCCTCTGCTTTTCCTCCTCCAGCACTGGATCTCAGTCGCTGTTACCGTGTTTTAATATTTAAAAAAACAAAACAGCAATGATATTAAAAACACACCAGAGTTGCTCCGTGCGCCCTGGATGGTGGCACAAATATGTCAGTGTCATGCGCGTAAAAACCAAAGCGTTACAGTCCGAACAACATATCACCAGAAAGTAAAATCAGTCCATATTGCGCCGTTTTACTCACAGTTTGTGGTTGGAATCTCTTGGGCTGCAATATTCCTTTGTCCGATAATATGTCCACATATGTCAGAGGATCATTTAAATGCCCGCGCAGTTTCCACACTCAACTTAAGACGAGTGCTGGCTACGTGTCAACTCTCCGATCTCGAGGATGTGAATATGAAGCAAATCACCTGTCCGGTTGCTTATTCTGCTCTTTTCCTCCAAGTCACTTACAACCAGTTCTCTCTCCTTTCCGAGCCAACTCCACAATGTAGAAGCCGATGAAAAATCAGGGTTGGAAACCCAAACGGAAAATTTTAAAAACAATGTATATCCGACGCAGTTTTTAGGAAACGTTGGTTGAATTCCTGCGTGTCCAGCATATTCAGCCTTTTCCCTCACCTGCAGATGCGCCGCATGTGTTGGTAGCCCCTATCTGCAGCACTGTGAGGGGGACTCACAAATGATATTGCAGTCTCTGTTTCTCTCTCTCTCTCTCTCCTTCTCTCTCACCCCTCTCTCCACCCCCCGCCTGTTTCTTCTCCTCCAGCAGCGCACGTAAACAGCTTCGGACTTTGGTCTTGATCGCCAGGTCCAGAGTTCAGAAGACAATATTTGATGAAAAGGGACAGAGGAAGGAGATGCCTTAATATGGTCGATTGCACCGGCATTTTCTCGAGACGTGGCTCGGCACTTTGTGAGCACAATTGGGATGCTTCATATTTATGTTTAATGGTTCTGTGGACAATGCGGCGAAATGTCTTATACAATAACTCGTGTATTTTACTTTATAACGGGGCTTGTGTAGTAGCGTTATTACATTTTGTAGCCTGTGCACTGTGGTGTGGACTGTTAGTTTTGCCGCAACAGATTCCTTGTGTGGCAAGCAAATTGAAAGCATAACTTTTACGCGCTCTTAGGTTGACACAAGTTATCTGTTTGTTGTTTTTCACTGTGATATGAAAAGGCTCCGAATGTCTGTCCAGCAGTGTAAGGCACGTCTGCAGGACAGACGAGACGGGATGGGGCTGGCTGTGTGCGCACTGCTGTGGTTTCCCTGTGGTTACTAATATGAATGCGTGTGGTCGCCAGTGGCTGTGCTCTCCGGCGCAGAGGGCTCGATGCCTGTATGCGGTTCCCTCCACTCGTCATCTAGGAATCTGAGATTGTGGTTATGAATGTATTTAAGTAAAGAGGCATAAAGACAGAAATCCCTCCTGCATAGCCCCTTCCAGATGATCTGAGCTAGGCTTTCCTTTGCGGCCGCTGCGCAAACCCAACTCCCTGTGTGAGATTTGTGTGCGCGGTGTGTGTCCTACCACAGCTGCTATCCACGTGCTGGTTATGGGTACACTGTAGAAAAAGCCTTCATGTGATGCTGACGGCCGTTCTGTCCAGCATCACGTTTAAATTCCTCCAGAGGCGCACAGCGTAAGGTAGGTACATGAGCACATTTTCGCCTTTTGCGTGGATTCATTTACTACAACGCGTAGGTGCTTTTGCACTGCTGTGTTCGATGCAAACGAAAAAACAAAATCTGGGTTTTGTGGCTTTAATGATCGTGCGTGAGGATTCCCCCCTCTAACTTGGAATTGGGGAATGCACTCCTGTTTTAATGTAGGAATAGTGCGTCGCTGCGGGTGTCTGTGAAATTATACAGTGAATGAGTGAGTGGGGGACCGAGGGAGGTGAAGGAGGGAGGGAGGAGAAGTGGGGGAAGAGGAGAGGAGGCAGCAGCTGCATCTTTCTCAGACGGCTGTCTGAATTCCAGCAGTGGCTTTATCCTTGCTTACTAGCGCCCTCTATCGTCAATTTAAACTCAAACCCCCACGTCTGGCTGTGGTAGGAGCACTACAGCAGAGATGGGGTAAATCCAGTTATGTAGTGTATGTACTGTGGGCAGCTGGATGTGTTCTTTCCATCCTTTAATTGATTCCTTTTTACACCATAAACAATAGTAGTTGATTACAGTCTGGTATCTCAGAAGGTGTATATGAATGTAATGAGGCAGTTTTAATGACTACAAATTTTTCCATCATATTCCCATTATAGCCAACTGGCTATGAGCTAAAAGGTTTTTATGAGAAAGACAAATATGTGTTGTTCAGCTATGCAATTAAATTATTATATTTAATATGGCTCATGCTGAAAAAGGCAGAGATATATAAGACTGAAACTCACTGAGTTGAAAATTGATCCAGTTTGGGTCAATATAGCAGCAGTGATTTATTTCTTATATTACTGTTGGTTTATTTACCTCAGATAAAATATAATTATTCTGAGTCAGTGGTGGTTGCAACAAGCTCAGTTTTCACCCTAAAACCACCACAAATGTATTGTTGGTAGTACCAAATGACGTGCACGTGACGTTCCAAACTGCACACACAGTCAGAAACGACACGCAGAGCTGGAGGCAATATGATGATATTTTACTTTGAAAAATAATCAAAAATGAAAATGACACTAACTCTGGGTGATTTTTTTAAAAACTATTTACTGTATTGACCTAATTTGGGTTATCAGTCAAAAATTAAGAACAGTCACGTGTATAGTCTAATCAACCATGAAGGCAATTTTAAAAATCATATTTAAAAGTTCACTAGATCAACCACTCACTCAAAAAACTAACAGTGTGTCTCAGGGCCTTTGGATTAACCAGGTACAAAGTGGAACCGAGCATGTAGGCGATTATGAAGCAGTGTTTACTATCAGGACCATGAAGATCAAGGCTCAAAACCATCACCAAAAATCATTATCATAGTTGTGTGCAGCATCGATCTTGCTCTCAAGTGGATGAGTGGTCTAAAATGACGCTGGGGAAAGCGCTCGACGCCGTTACAAAGACCTCATCAGTGACAACGAGATGTTAAAGTGACTCATACTCCCATGCAGTGACTGATAGCACCAAATTAAAACAAGTTCTGATAAGAGATTATAATGTACATCACTTCTTTTTTTAATCCCCAAAAGTAATTTTCTGACTGAATGCCGTGCATATTAAACATATATTGTACGTGTTAGGTTATGACTGGATGGGAAAATGGCTGTAGCACCTGAATATCTTCTTTATAGCTGATTATCTTTGCTTATGCCCCATAGACAGTCTGGAAGTGTTAATGAAATGTAGGAAGAGAAAATGAAAAACCGCACAGTTGACTGAATAAATGGTTTCCATTTTATAAACATAATAAGAGCTGAAATGTCTCTACGTTCTTATTCCTGTCTTAGTTCATGCTTGTTGTGAATGCTGTGACACTGTGTTGGCTGTCAACGTGAAATGAAATGACACCAGTGAGCTTAGGGTCTGACTCTCCATGAATATGAATGGAGAACAACAGAGGAGATGGAGGAGGAGCTGTAATGTACTGTAAATGTTTGTCTATATTTACCTGGTAGAGAGCGTACGCCACACACTGTTACACCTCAGCAGCATGGTACTGGTACTTATCTATTCATACACACAATTAAGCAACCAATGAGTTTTGTTCACTGTTGGTCACTTTTACTCACAACTTTTTGGTGCTTCGTCAAGGGAAATTCAAAATTATTATCATAATTAAAGGTCTTGTGTGTGTATTCAGTGCTTCTCACCAAAATACATGATTTGTATCCTTGAGGTCCAACAATTCTGTTCTACTTTTAATGTTTATATGTTTTCTAGCTTGCAGCATATTCTTCTTTTGTGCCTTCACAGGGATAAACTGTCAATCAAAGGAATAGCATGAAACCAGAGGAAACGTGCCTATTGCGCCGACCCTGTGTGTGCATTTATCGACCCACTTGTAAAAACACTGTGCCATCTCACTACCAGTAGTCAAAAACTCCCACGCGGTGCCTGTAATAAAGTCAGAGCAAGTTTTTGATCCTACTCGTCTGTCAATAAGACCGCATGGTGTGCAAGAACTAAGAGCTTTTACTTTGAAGTAAACTTTAATACCATCAGTTGAGTGATAGTATTTAAGTCAGTATTTATGAATGTAATATCACAGTATTAAAATGACTCAACACCCCATCACTGTGACTGTGTATCACCTCGATGAAGCTGGATTTATGATTGGCTTCAGAGGAACGGTAGTTTTAGCCTAACTTGATTACATGGTTTGAACCAGGGCAGGGTTGCCTCTTAAATGCTGTGTTTACCGTGTTTGCTGCTTTGAGAGTGTGAAAGATGAGACAAGTGAAAGACCAGTGAAATCCAGTTCACAATCCACAGGAAGCTGTGACACAAAAGAACAGTTTGCTTTTCATACATACAGGACTTTGTGCAGCTTTTATTTTTAGGTTATTGTAAAATGCTATGCACGAGTCCTTAAGTGACTTTTATATTTCACCGGTTTTGTATGTATATTCTCAAATCCCTAAACATTTACAAAGAAATTTGGCTTTACTTCCCCTGTACTGGGTGAGTTGCTTGGCCTCTTAATAATTCAGTAGACTGTTTCTTTGAAATGGGTGCTTGACTAATCATACTGTGTTGTTTTTTGCTACACTGAGCCACCAGGTCTTTGGGACTTAGTGCAAATGTACTCAATTAATTATGTCGATGCGACTTGCAGCAGGAGAGAGGTGACATTTAAAAAATAGTTGAGAAACCGTTGCATGTTTTCTCCAGTGTGTATCAGTGAGCATGAAATCGGGCTGAGACGTGGAGGCAGAAAGATGCGATGTAGACTGAAAGCTTTGGATGATGCCTCTTGGTGATTGACAGTCTACCCTATCAGAGCTATCTTAGACCCAAAATTGCGCCCACTCAATGTCTTATCAGTGTTATGGCGACACCTTCTGATGTTAGAGCAGTGAGCCTAACCCTTAACATAGCATCTATGTGTGTGTGTGTCTTCCTTCCTGCCTCCCTGTGCGTATCCGTACGTGGCTTTGAGTGGGTGCAAGCACCGATTCACACTTCAGATGCGTGTGTATAGGTTTTCCCCTGCATGTTGCTGTGCGGATGTGTCAGTCATTGTCTCTAGCTGAGCCTTTATGGAGTCCGTCCCTGTGTACTCTCTGACTGCACAGCCTCAGGACAGAAATACAACCATCTGTCAAGAATGTGTAAAAAGTCAGCTGATGGCAGGCGGGCAGCCGTCCAGGCTGCTCTTAGGCAGCTCTTTGTAGTGTTGCCCAAGAGGTAATAAGTCACAGCGTCCTCCGCTTTGAATGGCAGAGAGAGTCATCAACAAGGAGTGACTCAACAACACAGAGAAGACGTGTCCAGCGCCATGATGGTGAAGCTCAGCGAGCCCTTTTCTTTCCATCTCCCCCTGGCAAGTTGTTATTTTGAGTCTCACGATGCCTTGTTCTGCCTTCTCCCTCTGGGCTTTGCGAGAACTGTTGAAGAGATCACAATATACAATAGAATTGGTTCATAAAGTTTCAGTGCTGCCAGGGAGAAAAACGGATGGTGCCATACTTTAAATATGAAAAGGCAGTGGTGTGTCCTGTTCTTGTTCACTTAAATA